AAGAACCACTTTCCACAAGTTCACTTTGTCCTGGTTTTCAAACAGCTATTTTTTCTGCTGTGAAAATCTGATATACAAGAATCAATGTGCTTTTCATAAACATGAAACTCATTTTACTAGCATTGATTATCTTGAAAAAGAAAAATTGCTGTCTGAGGATATCCATATCCCCAAAAATGAATACTTAGTTCATTACATTTCAATTTCTGAACATGACTGTACTGAAAGATTTGTGTGTGGAATTTAAGTGAAATTTAATAAAACTTGGAAAGGGACGACCAAGAATTTTGCTATATTCAACAAGGAAACCAAATTATACTGAAATATTTTTACTCAAAATATTTTTTTAAAAAAAAAAACTTGTTAAGGCCCTTCAATGAATTCCTACCGTTTGTCCTATCTATGAAGGAAGAATACAGAATCAATATTGATTTATATTCCATTCTTTTGCTACTTTGAGTAACAACTATATAAATACCTTAGAAAGACAAAACAAGAAAAACGCACCCAATCAAGCCAATAAAAAGCCAACAAGTCTGAACTAGAAGCATTTTTTTTCATGAAGAATCAATTTCTTTAAAAAGTCCATTATAATGTATTTTCCACCATCTGAAAGGGTACAATGTGACGCATGTATATTTAATACAAAAGCACTGTCAATAACAAATATATAAAATGCTACTCAACTGTAGTACAATATCTAAAATTTAATGGTATATTCAATATCTATTCTTTTTACAGTACAATTTGAAGCTTGAAATCTTTTGAAATTTAGGACAAGTCCTAAAACTAGATAAAGAGAACCCAATTAAATAAGTGAGCCAAAAGCATACTTGTTCATTTATTTATTGAGACATCTGTGGAGAACAGATGATTTAGGTGTTTTAAGTCATATTTATGCAGAAATATTGAAAATTCAAAAGGATTCACAAACATATAGGCACCATTATATAATTAAAGCTTATTTGCAAGTTCAGGATTGTTATCTACATATTACACCAGAAAATAATTGTTTTATTCACCATAGTAAATACGTTCAGATTCAGCTCCCTATACCTATACTTTTGTAGAATAATGACCAAGCTATATCTCAAAGTAAAAATACAAAGTAACTTTTCTATCTAGTAGATTTTTTTAATCAACCATTTATTATCTAGCAATTTTTGTAAATTACAATTGATAAGAAATTGAAATCAATTAATGTAGAATTGAGGCATTTATTTATTTGCTCTATGACTGCCTATCTCACAGTGACTCTGGATGACTAATGACATTTAGACATAAAATACAATTCCAAACAGCATAAAACTTAAATATATGTAACAGCAATTCAAGTAAACAACTTCACTGATTCCATCTAATAGTCTAAACCAGAGGTGTCAAACTCAATTTCATTGAGGGCCGCATCAGCATTGCGGTTGCCCTCGGGGGGCTGGGTGGGTGCAGCCAAGATGGGTGCGGCCAGGGTGGGTGCGGCCTACTGGGTGGGCGTGGATGGAGTGGGTGTGGCCTACTGGGTGGGCATGGCCAGCTCTACATCGTTTGCGTCAAGGGTGCCTGTGGGGGCTTGGGCAGGAGTGGGACAGATCTGGGGGTCTCTGGCAGAAGGGGGTGGGACTGGGGCAAGCGCCAAGGCATGGTCCATTTCTTCATTCCTCACAAAGGGTGACACCTCTCCAGCATGCATCCAGAGGGCGGGGCTGACATGGCAGAGGCTGGTTCCTTGCTGTTTCTAGACAGCCTTGTGGAGCTAAGACTGAATGCATTTCAGCATAGATGGCCACCACAAAATTGTACATTGGCTCCCGGCCGGCCTGGGCCAGAGCCAAGGCAGCAGGGGCCATTCTCTCACTGTTTCCAGGATGGCTTCGTGGGCCACATGAAACCACTTCGCGGGCCGCATCTGGCCCCCGGGCCTTGTGTTTGACATGTCTGGTCTAAACCGCTCACCTGGAAACACATTCAGGCTTTGTAAAAACTTGGCAGGATTTGGGTCACCCTCATTTTGGGAGGAATAGTGTTCCATAGGGTGTGACCAAAAGACCACATTCTCTGGGTATTGAAAGAGGGCATTACATATAATCAATGGGACCCTCAGAGTTTCTTTCCTGCCAGGCCAAATGGAATCGACAGAAACAACTGGAGAGAGGTAGTTCTGAAAATAACCCAGCACAACCTACAGAGTCCTTTAACAGGAGATAACCACACCTTGAACTGTAGAATCCTTTCAGCTTTTTGCAAGCAAATAACCAAGCTCAGAGAGTAACAAAGACTCCAAAGTTCAACCCTGAGCTACCTCTATTCTCTTCCATTGACATCTTGAACTGTATCCAGAAGCATATTGGCAGCCAGTGTAGCTTACAGAACTGAGATGTAACATGAATGCATTAAAGGTAGCCGCAGGCAGAACATGTTGCAGTTACATGTTGTAATCCATTTAGGAAATGACCAAGACATGATAGATAGATGGATGGATGGATGGATGGATGGACGGACGGACGGACGGATAGATAGATAGACAGACAGACAGACAGATAACTTTTATTGTCATTTTTTATTGTGGGCACAATGGCATATATTAAAAATGAAATTTAGTTGCTTGCTCTCAAACTGCAAACATACATAACACACATTTAAACATATTATATACAACATATTTATAGACCTACACCCTTACATATAAGTAACATATAAGTGAGTGATTGTGAGCAATGCCCACTGCTCCAGGAAATGGATTATATATAGCTTCTTGGGTAATTATTGATATCCCTCTACTTTTATTATCAGTTTATTATCAATCCAATATTGTGTAGTAACTAATCAATTAAACTTCCAGCTCCAATTATATCTCTGCTATTACCATCAGAGATAAAACTTTCCTATATTTCAGTGGCATAAAACTACCATTTTATTACTGCCTGGAATCACTGTGTAGCTGCCAAGACTCACCTTGTAGGGGAGATAGGCGGTATAGAAATTTAATAAATATTAAATAAATAAATAAAAATATTACTCTACAACCACAGTACTTGCTTTCATGAGTCACTTGCCCTCATGTCTGAAGGTATATCATATGTTTTGCAGACAGCTTTCTCTTTTTCTCTTGCTAATCTGAGCCAGTGAGATGATTGCTGAAAACTCCAAGTCTTTCAGAAGTTCAACATACTTGACAAAGGAAGAGTGCTTTGTCTGGAATAAGTCAGGATTTTATAGGTACCTTCACACCTCTAAATCAGCTCACAGTTTATTGCTAGAATGCTAGCTTTTTGAAACAAGGAAAAAAGTATTTCTCTTAAATGTTGGAAGGTCTATAATATTCCATTGGAAATAGGATGCAACAATTTGAATATATAAACTCTTCTGCTCAAATATATTTATGAAGTAAAGAGTCTATAGAAAGTTTTGCTGCAGACAACAATACCGAACTAATGAAAATTTCTGTTTGGTCTATATGTATTGATACATTCATATCAATCCAATTCTCAAAATGGCTGTATGACCCAGCTCCAATATATGCCTTCTTGCACCTACTTGTAATTTCCATGACGTCTGATCTGAATATTCCTTGTGACTAGTATCTAGTGATAACCTTTTATAGGCAATCCTTGACTTATGACCATAATTAGGACTGGAATCTGTCATTGAACAGAGGTCATTAAATAAGGCAGTGGTGGCAAACCTATGGCACGCATGCCAGAGGTGGCACTCAGAGCCCTCTCTGTGGGCATGCACGCCGTCGCCCCAGCCTCGCCTCCCCCCACGGCCCCTTCTTTACCAGAAGCCCCCTGGAGGAGAGTCGTCCCTAGACATGGCCTGCGGGAAGCAGCACAGCCAAGCACATGGCAGCCGGGCAGCAGGGATAAGACTCCACCCTCGTGCCCCAGATGATACTACGGGGCACGGGCAGAGAGCATGGCCACCAAGGTGCTGCAGGGCTGCCTGGGCGATCTGCAGCGGGCCATGCAGGTGGGTTGCCCTGTGGGCAGGCGGGGGATAGAGCAGGGGCAGGCAGGGTGGGGGGTGGAGCGGGTGGGGGCAGAGTGGGAGTGGGGCAGGGCAGTTTTGGGGCACTCAGTCTCTAAAAGATTCGCCATCACTGAAATAAGGTCTCCATGTGACCACTTTGCTTAACAACTGCAATCCTGACGGTCCAAGCTTTGTTCCAGCAGCCTGCTGTGGGATTTCCCTTCCCCTCCGAGTGTGGGAGAGAACTCTTGCTGTGGACTGCAGAAATGAAGCTTGGATCTTGAAGATCTGATCTCCACTCCTCCAGCCTGACAAAGAATGTCCCCATCTGTGCACAAAGGGGAGGAAACAGCAGCTTTCCTCCTAGTTTGCTCATTGACTTTCTGAGGAAGCCATCAGAGAAGACTGCAAATGGTAATCACATGACTGCAAGGCACATGGCAACCAGCTGTAAGCGAGACTAGGTTGTCAAACACCAAGATCATGATCAGGTGACCTTGAGAGAGTGGTGGTGACATTTTTCAACAGCCAGATCATGAAAGCACCTTCATAAAGCATCTTTCTGAGTTGCCAAAACTTTCAAGTAGTCATTAAATGACAGGATGTAAGTTGAGGACAACCTGTATTATAAATTTGCATGCCATTTTAAATGTCTTATATGGTTGTTTTTCTCTATTCAGATACAGAAATTTACTCTTTGTGAAAGCACTCCTTATTGCATTAAGGCAGGCATGTCAAACTGCCAGCCCGTGGGCCGGATGCATCACGCCGAAACTGTGCCCACCCCATTGACATCACGTGACGTCGCAAATTTGACATGCCTGCATTAAGGCAATTAAATTTTGGGAACATGCCAATTTGGCAAGGAGCTTGGAGACCTCCTATACTCTGTTCAACAAGAGTAGTGATATAGTTAGGGGTTTGATTCATTGTGCAAGAACTTTTGTGATTTGAAGGATGAGAATAAATCTGGACCTAAGACAATAGGAAATGAAAAAAGCAGGTATGTATAGCATGAACTTCAAATCATGTTTAAGTAAACAAATCTGACAATCACTAAGCTTGTTCAAAAATGCATATATCATAACTATTTCACCCAAATATAACTTACTTTGCTCTTTTGGCCATTTCATTGCCATCCCATCGTGGACTATAGGGATAGTTTTTCTGGGCTTGAGAATATAGTTCTCCACTATTTGTAAAATGATAGACAGACTGAAATGTCAAAGTTGGCTGATCCCGAGGAAAGTACAGTGGCAAGTCAACTACAAACAAAAAAGAAAAGAAAAAAAATACATAAGCAATTTGTTTTCTTTCTTGATTTTTATCATCTTATATTAACAATATGCACGAAAACGTGTACATTAAAAATATTTTAAAATCTGACAGGTGCTTAAAAGATGCTCAATTTACAGGTTGTTCAGTTTTTTTTTTAATATTTAATCATATTTTTTGCCAGATTTGTTGCACAAAAATAAAATGGATAGATCAATTTGAATTTATCGTTTTAATGGACACCTGTTTAAATTTGAAATGTTTCTGAAATACGCTAAGCATACTATATATAAACAAAATAAAGCACAGATAAAATTTAATTAGACAATATGATTTGCTGTCTACCTATGGTAAAAACATAGCTGGGGATAGAGATGGGCATACTATCTTATAGATGGAAACTGCTGGGGTTTTTTATATATCAGATGGGCCTGAAGTACTGTATTTTTAGCTTTTGTACATGTCCACTAAGCATGATATAATGTCCCTTCACATTGTTCATATTTCCAAAATACTTCTGAAGTGCCTTGATATATTCTAGATAATTTTTCTAGACTACAGTGCTACTTTCTGAGAGATAAATAAATCTAGCCCTTCCCAGTCATTGTGCCTCTAAACTTCAACAACAATGTGCTATTCAGCTATAGTTCTTACTCATTCTCCTTGCATATTCAGTTTCTCTACTGGGCTACAAGGTTGTCTTCATCATTTTATTGCATATGACAGGTGTTTTTTATTATTATTACTTTTTGCAGGTGTTCCTGGCATAGGTGATCAAAGTTATGTTAATAAAATATTCTGAGTTAATTTAGAATACTGGTGCATAGCATTAAACCAGTATTATTTTACTAGACCCACAAGACAAGCCTTAGGTTTACATAATTATCATTACTGTATTCAGTTATGATAGATAAGGCTTTTTTGAAATAAGGGAGACAACAAATTATTTGGTTCAGTTTTGAATGAATTTTCCCAAGAACTCTTTTATGTGAACTGAAAACAACGTATCAACCTATTTTTTTATTTACACAGAATCTTATAGATTAATTTCTCAATTCACTGTTGTAATACCCACAGTTTGAATATATTAACATGACAACTTATAACCATCTTCCATTCATTGAAAAACAATGTTATAAAGCCTTAAGTAGTTATTTTACATTCGGGTGTCCCTTGAGACATCAGTTCCAGTGTAACACTGCAAATAAAGAACAAAAACTTGGATATATAGAAATTGAGGGATTAGGTTCCAGAACCTATGATTCTCTTCTTCCTCCCACAAGCACCTTTTCTCTCTTTCTTCTGTTGTGATTGTCTGTGTAATATACCTGAATTTACGTAAGGTGTCTCTGGGTCTGTCCAGTTACGAGGTTCCATGTGACTTTCCTACAGCAGCTGGCTGATAACAGAAGGAATCACCTTACTCACAGTTAACCTGTCATGCTAACTTCTCTAGCCTAAGTTCTTTTACAATTTGGGGGGAGATGTTTCTTGATCACATCATTGGACACTACTGCTATCCACAGACTGGCTGTGTAATGCTCAATTACCACAAATGTTCAGTGAACAGCTAGTGTCCAGTGACACAATTGAGAGTTGGCTGAGAGTAGTACTGCACACAGTACTGATGTCCAGTGGCATAACTGAATGGCTCAGACCCCAGTATGTGGCATCAGTTTGATTCTTTCCATTGTCAGCCAAACAAATCCCTTGGAAGAAGGCAGCCAGCTGTTGTGAGGAAGTTATGGAGGAGTCCCACAACTGGCAAATACAACCCTGACCAAGTGAAAAGATCTACAACTTACAACCGCATGGAAGTCCACAAGCCAATGATATTCATGCCCAAGGAGCAGCAGCAAATATAGGCATGCAGACAAACTAGTCATAACCCATACAAAACCTACTTTTCAGATGTAAAAAATCCTTTCTATCATTTTCTATTTTAAAAAATCAATAGATATGAAAAAAACATTTATTTATAGGTCAAAGTGTGGTCTTTAATTATCAGTTGTGGATATATAAAACAACAGATAATGATACTATGGATGAGACCTACCTACTTTGGGGGGAGGAAGAAGGAAAAAAAAAAAGATAAATAAAAAAAATTCAATTTATAATGGGAACTCAAGAATTCCAACATTAAGAAATATATCTTCAAGGGTTCTGATAGACATTTTGCATTTTATCTTTATCTTTTATCTTTGCCAGCAGTTACTTTCCATAAATATATTTTCTTTTCAGATTTAGGATTACAGCATGTTCTGCAAGGAAGTTATTACCATATATCTCAGGAATGTCATTTGAACTCCAAAACATATTTCGATATAGTTACACTAGTGGATAATGTGACTTGATAAATTATCCAGTAACCATGTATATACAACAACAGCCAAGCAAAATATTTTATTGGTATATATATACACATAAAACCATGGAAAATGTATCCTTTCTTTTGAATCTTGATAAATAAATTCTACTACTAATTTATATTTGGGAACTTAAGAATCAAATTCTAATATGGATGGAATTAGCTGATATAAAATAATATTTAAAATTCCACTTAAACAAATGAAGTGTAAATATGTATAATACATAGCTACTGGTAAGCACAAAACTACATGTGTATATCTGAATAAGGTGTGGCTGAGATTGTTTAAAGAAGGAAAAGCAAAAAAAGGAAAGTGCAATTGTAAGATATTTGGGAATTAGAGTAAAGTGTCCTAAAATGGATTTCCTGATGGCAAATTATGTTCCAGCCTGAAAGGAAATAAGATCATGATTCCAAGAAGGAAAGGAAAAAAAACTTTACAAAATCAGCACAGAAAAGTTTAAGATTTTTAAAAATATGAACTCTTTAATACTTACTGAACATATTGAGATATAGGACCATGCATATAAATAAAATAAAAGCCTAAAGAATGCTCTAATCAATAAATCAACCTCTTTGCATAGCTGTAAATATTTTAAAATATTTTTAAAAGTAATTTATTATCTGTTATTAATTATTTTATCTTTAGTAACAGGTGGAAACTTCAAGCAATTCAACAAATGTGTATTGGACAGTCTTTACGTATAACAATCATACTTTCAATCATACAATCATGATCATTAGAGACGATGATGAAAAATGAAAAGTCACTAAACAGACAATCTAAAAATGCTGAATTCAGAGTAACTTTTTCTTACTGGGGTGTAAGTAACCTATTTACCTTTGCAAGAATTGATACATACACAATATTTCTCCCAACAAATTAATCAATATTAACTATTTCTGTACATATGCAGTTGGAAACATATGCATAGAGTGGGGCTATAAAAACAGGTAAGGCATCAATTAATTGTTTATTTATTCATATGGAACTTATTTTAAACAACTTTTCTTCTATAAAGGCTGGACTATTATACAAAGAAAAGGTTGCTTTAGGAAAGGAAATTATTTGCCACACTGAAAAGATAGCTGGAGTACACCCCATTTGCAGTTTCACCGTTTTACAATATCCTGATCCAAAGTTGCTTCTCCTTGAAGTGAGCATACATTGCTAGAGTTCAGTTAGATGAAGCTATACAATGTGTATATATACTGTAGCACAGTGATGGCGAACCTTTTAGAGACCGAGTGCCCCAAAACTGCCTCTGCTCTGCCCCCGCTCCCCCCCACCCTGCCCCTAGCCCGGCCCGCCCCCATCCCGCCCACCCACAGGGCCATTCACCGCCTCCATGGCCTGCCGCAGATCGCCCAGGCAGCCCAGTAGTGCCATGGTGGCCACGCCCTCCGCCCACAGCATCAACTGCGCATGATGGGGCGTGAGGGCGGAGTCTTGTCCCCGCTACCCAGCTGCCATGTCGTTGGCTATGCTGCTCCGCGTGGGCCGCGCTCGGGGGCGACTCTCCTCCAGGGGGGCTGCTGGTGAGGAGGGGGCTGTTGGGGAAGGCGGGGCTGGGGCAATGGTGCACGTGCCCACAGAGAGGGCTCTGAGTGCCGCCTCTGGCACGCGTGCCATAGGTTCGCCACCACTGCTGTAGCAGAAAAGATTGTTAGAACATAGAATAACAGAGTTTGAAAGAACATCAGAGGTCTTCTAGTCCAACCTCCTGGTTGAGCAGGAGACCCTATACAATTTCAGACAAATGGTTGTCCAATCTCTTTTTGAAAGAGCACCCACAACTTCTGAAGGCAAGCTATTCCATTGGTTGATTGTTCTCACTCTTAGGAAATTTCTCCTTAGTTCTAGGTTGCTTCTCTCCTTGGTTAGTTTCCAACCATTGTTTCTTGTCCTGCCTTTAGGCGCTTTGGAAAATAGCTTGACTTCCTCGTCTTTGTAGGTGCCTCTCAAATATTGGAACCCTGCAATCATTAACCATGATCTTTAACCATGAGAATCAATTGCTGGAGCTAGATCTATCAGCAAGGCACTGCTTAGGTTTTAATCCTTTTGTGTAATATAAAACAATAAGAGTTAATTCCACGATAGTGTTAAGTGATAGATTGTATCTCTGGAGAAGTTACGAGAGGTGGCTGAGAACTCTCAACTCTTGTGTTAGCATCCATTATAACACCATGATGGAAATTATTATCAAACTGCCTCTGCTTGGAGACAGAAATGACAACTAAAATTTGAGATTAAAATATCTACTGTTTCATTCTTGGCTAACAACATAATTCTGCCATTATCTAAAGTGATTTATCAGTTAGCAATGTACTTTTGTAGCATTATTCTGAAAGTCTAAAAAGCAAAAGCTCTGTTCTACTCTGTAGGGTCAACCCAACCTCCTAAAATCTGGTTATAGTTTTGAGGTTAGGGCTTACTTTGTTGTTTGCCCTTTGTAATTAAAGTTCATAATTTTTTTTATGTTTTTTCTCGTTTTTTAAAAATTATTTTTCTCATGTACTGCATGTTTCTTAAAAGGCAGCTAAATAGCTATGTACAATTCATATAAAAGTGATATGTGGTAATAAACTTCAGTAAAGACAAGTTAATATCTGCGGTGT